CTTCTCTTCCCCTTTTCCTCGGTCCGGTGCTTCCTAGCTCCTGATTGGGGCAGGTCGATCGCTGGCAGCTTCGTCGGTAGCAGGGATCTCCTGGTAGGTGCAAAGCCTGTCCCTTGGATGGTTACTAGGGTGTCTGGATGCAGTGGGATGGTCCCTGGGGTTTGGGAGTTGCGGTGCTCGTGGGTGGAGCTTGTGGCTCGGGTGTTGGCTGGCTGCCATGGCCCCGCAGTCAGTGTGGTGGTTAGTGTTTGGTGTTCTAGGGTGGTGATGTGGCTGGTGTTCTTGTGACCCACCCTACCCCGATTCGAAAACCTTGTCTTGATTTGGCCAGGCTAATGTGGCGATGTCCATGGGCGTCATTTCCTGCTTCAACACCATTGCGGTAGCCCTTTGTCCTTCTGATGCTTCAGGCGAAAACCTGATCCTTTGGATCTGGCGATGGTGGTGCTTTGGTATCGTGTCCTTCCTGAAGGAGCCACCTTGGAGTCCAGGGTCCATCGTTGTTTAGCTTTGTCTCTTCGGGGTTGGTCGTTCATGGTTGGGAGCTCCATTGACTCCAAGCGATGCTCAATTTGTCCACTTGTCATTTGCTTTGAGTTGTATGGGGTGGCGTTGTTGTTCTTCAGCTCATCTCTTGGCTTGGGTGTGTGTTGAGGTGATGTGTTATATGCGGGTGTTTGTATGATGGTTGCTACTTTATATATATAATGGGGCAAAGACCTATTCTTGGTAATCTAGTACTACTGAACCTGACATGTATCTCATAGTTGTACGAGGATCAGAGCATCTCCAATAGACTCCTTAAAAATCCATTGCTTATAATGATTACAAGATCATCGAAGCCACGCTTTGCCGCGTTGGTCCATTTTTGCAATAGAATGATAGGAACTGCAACAAGTATAAATGCACTAAACACGAGAGTTAAATTTGCATAAATTTACACATATTTGTGGTTACAAAAGAGCTGGATTTAATGAATTTGTAGTGAAATAATGTGGTGTTAGGAGGCCATAAACCTTAGGAGCTGATGTAGACAGGAAGAGAGGGGCATAAACATTACTTGGAATAATTCCATAAAATAATCCTACAAACACAAGATAGATGTATTGAAACTTGAAGGATCACTTACAAGTTACCAAGGGGGGGGAAGCTTCCCAATGTATCACAAAGGCAAAGAAATAGACATTTCATTACTAAAAATTACAATTTTCATACATTTTAAAATCGACCCCTACCTACATCCGATGCCAATCTCTATGGATAGAAATGGAAGTAGGATAAAACAATATTGAGTGGACTCTTTCATCGAGGAGGTTAGTTGAGGCAATAGAATTACTCAATAAGTTACTCCCTGTGTAATTTAGACGTTTCACTCGTTTCTTTACTCTTTATCCCTTGACATATGAATAACAAACATTGTCTTTAACTGGACTGGTTCCAACGCTAGCATATTGGTGAAACCAGAATTTCCTAATCAATCAAATCCGCTTGAAAATAAGCACATGGAACAAGGTTTAGGAAAGACGAACCAAGGGCGGTTAGAGTTAGTGGTCTTAACAAAAACACAGATACTGGATAGGGTTTCCAATTTTGCCCCCAATGTATTCATAAATGAGTCTAACGTTTGATTTCTTCCGATCTCTCCCCAAGTTAGGTTAATGGTATAGTTCCAAGGAAACAAGCTTCTTGAGGGAGGTCTCTATCTCCCCCATGTCCTAATAAGGAGGATAAATCAATTGGTTCGAATCCTAGTCCCATCCCCGCTGCACCATGACCACAACCTAGTGATTCAGTAATTGTTTTAATCCCAAAAGTAAATTCTCCTGATGTGCTCTCTAATTTTCGGCCAATAAGTTTGTGCAATGTTATGTATAAAATTGCTTCCAAAGTTATAGCTAATCGTCTCAAACTTTTTTTGCGAAAATAATCTTTAAACAACAGAGTGCTTTTGTGCCAGGAAGACTAATTACTGATAATGTGCTTATGGCTTATGAATGTCTCCACACAATAAGAAAGCAGAAAGTCAAACACCCATTCTTTGCACTCAAAATTGATATGACAAAGGCTTATGATAGGATGGAGTGGAACTATCACAAGGGTATTTTATTGAAAATGGGTTTCAATGATAAATGGGTCGAGACGGTTATGAGATGTGTAACCTCTGTGAAATATGCGGCTAGAGTTAATGGAGAATTAACTCAATCTTTTAAACCCACTAGAGGCATTAGGCAGGGGGGTCTAATTAGCCCCTACCTTTTCTTGTTGTGCGCTGAAGGCTTATCTTGTTTACTGCAACAAAAGGAAGCTTTTGGTGAATTAAAAGGGATCCGCAATGGTAGAAATGGCCCTCCTATTTCTCATCTATTGTTTGCTGATGACAGTGTGTTCTTTACCAGAGAAGATGATAAGAGTATTGATACTCTAAAATTATCTCTTCAAACATATTGCGAAGGGTCTGGACAGAAGATCAACACTCAGAAATCATCTATATTTTTTGGCACCCACTGCAATGAGCAAATAAAGGAAAGGGTAAAGCAGAAGATGGGAATTCAAGATGATACACTACAAGCTACCTATCTTGGCATGCCGACCTAGGTGGGACGATCCCCAACGAACAACTTCAACTTTCTCACTGGTCGACTTTGGAAAAGACTCAATGGTTGGAGTGATAGACCTTTGTCAAGGGCTGGGAAAGAAGTTCTAGTAAAGTCAGTCGCACAAGCAATACCAACTTACGTAATGAGTTGTTTTCAGATCCCTATTGGTGTCTGTGAAAAGATGAGAAAGCCTATTTCCAACTATTGGTGGGGTGTAGAAGATGGAAAAAGGAAATTACATTGGAAATCTTGGAAGTGGTTGTCCTCACCGAAATATTTAGGTCGCATGGGATTTAGAGACATGGCAATATTCAATCAAGTCATGTTGGGTAAACAATGTTGGCGCCTTTTAACAAATGTAAACTCATTATGTGCTAAGGTATTAAAAGGAAGATACTCTCCGTAAGGTGACTTTTGGACAGCTAAATGTGCGAGGTCATCTTCTTATACTTGGCACAATCTGATATATGGGAGAAAATTGTTGCAGAAGGGCCTACTATGGAGAGTGGGAGATGGCAACACAATTCATCATGTGAAGATAATTGGATCCCTGATATTGCCCCTACAACTCTACAACATATTTCCTCTAGAAGTGGTAATGATATGGTGAGTTCTTTGATAATAAAAGGTGAACACAAGTGGAATGAAGAAACCATTAGAAACATTTTCTCAGAGGATATATCAGAGAAAATTCTTAGCTTACCGTTGAGTACAGAAGGATGCCCAGATTTTGTGTCATGGCCCCACACAAAAGATGGTGTTTATACAGTGAGGTCGGCATATAATTTTTTGAGAACACTAAACTTTTGGAGTGACATGAGTACATATGGCAAAGGGGCTATCTCAGATCAGAGGATCATGGAGAAAATTTGGAGGAAACTTTGGGCAATCCAATGCCCAAATAAAATGAAGGTAATTCTGTGGAGATTCGCCCATAACTGTCTCCCAACAGGTGCTCAACTTCAAGTGAGATCAATCCCCACAAGGTATGATTGTCATTTTTGCAATAGGGAGGAAACCGTTGAACATTGCTTTTTGCAGTGTCACTATGTTAAAGAAATCTGGAAAGAGCTTAAGAAAGAGTATGCCATTTGTTTGAAACTGAGAAGTTTTACTCATGTTAGGCAATGGGTTTTAGAGTGGATACAAAACACTACAGATTTTCACTCTATGATTATGGCAGTGGCAATATGGCACATATGGGAAAATAGAAATGCCTATCATAATGGCGAAGCTTTAAATCACCCTCTTCGTGTGGTGGGAAAGATCAAAGCTTATGTTGAATTTATCAATATGCATTCTTTTAGTTCGACCACTTCCACTAGACGTGAGACCTTGAAGTCAAACCAAAAATGGTATGCGCCGCCGGATGGGTCGATGCTCGTCAATGTGGATGCAGCGACATTCTCCCAATCTGCAAGAACGGACTTTGGTGTGGTAATACGTGATCACCGGGGAAGGGTACAGGCGGCGAACAGAGGTTACTTTGAACGAATTCAAATTCCTGAAGTAGCAGAAGCCATGGCACTTCGTCAAGCCTTAATCCTTGTCAATAACCTTAGCATACCGAACATCATGGTAGCATCTGATTGCCTGTCATTGATCAACAAGGTCAAGGGTTTAGGTTCTGATAGGTCCCCCATTGGAGCCATAGTCCATGATATTAGAAAATGTGCCACAAAGTTTGTATCTTGTACTTTTATTCATGTCAATCGTACTTGTAATGAGGCAGCACATGTTCTGACGAAATCAGCAGAGCATGATGTTTGGTCCTGCTGGATTAATGAGTTCCCTGATGTAATTAGGACCATTATCTATAATGAACTAATTATGAATGAATGAAAGGGTGTAGCTGCCCATTACCTCAAAAAAAACTAAATAGTGTTGTCGGATGGAGAAGCTGGTTACAAACACATGTTTGGGTTGACCCAAATGTGAACGCTACGAGATGCGTATGAATATGATAAGCCTAGAGGTGGAGATGACGATTTGGAAAAAGTTACTCAAAGAGAGCAATGCAAGCAAAACATTAACAGTGTTATCACTAGGTCTTGCGAGTGAAAGAAAAAATATGTTAAAATTTGTGTAGCCTCGTTCCTTTGATCCAATGTGTTGCATTGATTCCCGCAAAATAAAAGTGTTCCATTCAAAAATAAATTCAGTTTAAAGTTAAGATCCTTTAAAAGTTCCAAAAAGAAAAACCCAAATGACAAGTCATGCGTGGCACGAGACACTTCGGCCCTGCCATTTTTTACAATTAATTAAAATTGCCATAAAAAAAAACTAAAACTTGCTATTCTAAACAAAGTTGCCATGATTGAGAACTAGAGTTATCGTCCAAGAGTCATTAAACTTGCCATAAAATACTTCAATCCAATCATTGCCATACAGGGCAATATCAACATGGGATCCGTGGACAGATGGTTCGAGAAGCACCAGTCCATTCCTAGCAATTCCTATTGCACGATCCTAAAAAAAAAAATTCCTATTGCACGGGCGCGACCGCGACCGCGACCGCTAACACAACCACCCACGCACACAATCCAAGACTGCCCCTGCCCCGGCCGCAGCGAAACTGAAAAAAGAAGAAAGACCACCCCGGCCGCCACCCGAAGCCCGCTGATGGAGAGCCCCCGCGACGCCCACCTCTCGCCGTCGCCGGAGGCCGCGCGGATGCTGCAGGAGATGCTGCTCCGGGACCTCCGGGAGGCGGATGGGCCCGATCTGCCGGAGGAGCAGTTGCGCTCCAACGACCAGCTGCAGCAAGACGAGGTACCGCTACTGCCTGCTCGAATCGATCGCTTCGTCGCCCTACGCCTCGTCCCCTGCGCCAGTTTTGGGGACTGCATCGCTAACCCCTCTCGTGGATTGGCTAGCGAAGCGGAGCGGATGAAAAATCCGGATTTTCCTTCAATCTAGGGATCAACGGTTCGGTCAATAGCTAGCAGTCATGGTCCTTGCTTAGTCTTAGGGCGCGAACTTTTGATTGTCGTCTGATGCTCGTGCGGAGGAGGAGGAATGCAGAAGGCACGGGAGGAAGAAGGGAAGAGGGGGGGCTAACCGGCGCTCAGATGAGTGGTGGGCAGGAGGGGGTAGAACCGTAGAAGGGACGGGGGAGTGTGGATGCGAGCTGAAAGGGGGGCATTGCGAGGAAGAAGATGGTGGGCTGGTGCAGGGGAGGGGAGAGGGATCATTGACCATGTTTTTTCATCATTGACCAGATACTGGCACTTGAGGCAATTTATGGGGACAACTCAGTAAATTTACAGACTTTCTTCTGATGTACTGTACAGTCCTACTTTTTTCTCTGATATATGATTGCACATATACTGGCACTTGAGGCAGTTTATGGAGACAACTCAGTAAATTTCCAGACTTTCTTCTGATGTACCTTTTCTCTGATATATGATTGCACAGATACTGGCACTTGAGGCAATTTATGGAGACAATTTGAATATTTTTGGTGAAAAGTCTGTACCACGCTCCTTCCAGGTATATCCGTTTTCCTCTATTTATTTTCTTGAGGAATTTATTGTTGCTTTAATTGGTTCCAGACTTCCAGTTCCAGTACTCACCAGTTACCAAAATAGTAATACCAACAAAATCTGCGGTACTCTTTCCTTATTCGTTTTCAACTCTTTGCAGATCCATGTGCACTGTGAAATTCCAGATGGTATCAGTGTGTCCACAGAACTCCAGAGTGTTGATGATTATCCAGACAACCAGTTCACATTCAGTGTCAAGCACTTGGCTCCAATATCACTGACATGCCTTATGCCTCCATCGTACCCGAGCCATCATCCTCCATACTTCTCTCTCGGTGTACAGTGGTTGGATAGTGTGAAGGTCTCGACCCTTTGTCACATGCTTGACTCGATTTGGGCACAGCAGTCTGGACAGGAAGTTGTTTTTGAGTGGGTGCAGTGGCTGCAGAGCTCTACGCTCTCTCATCTTGGTTTTGATGGCGGGATAATCATACGCAAGTCTGATTGTCCTGTGGCTCCTGTGGATGCTCGGGTTGTTGGAGAGATTCTGTCTGTAGAGGAGGTTGTTCAACAGTTGATCAGCTATGATGAAGAGCAATGCCTTGAAACATTTCGTCGTGGCCTCCATGTCTGCACAATTTGTTTCAGTGAGCACCCAGGTAATTCAGATGCTCCATTTGATGCTTGGATACTCTCCCTGTTGCTCATTTCACAACTACATCTCCATCATAACTTAAATCTGTTATTTTGAAACAGTAAGGGAGAACACTACTGATACAGTATATATTGGACACTGAATTGGTGCTCCATGGAGCCAGGGCACCATGATTTATGCACAAATCCAAACCAAATTTTGGTATAGTTTTTGGAAATTTAGTTCTGGTGTATAATGCCTGATTATTAGAATTCAAATACTCTACATTCTGGGGTATTGCTGGGTATATCTATTTTTTTGCATACCATACTACTTTTATATAAAATCAACGTATATCTGCAGTCAAACAATCATTAGAAAAAGTAACTATGTTTTGGCTTTAGTTCAAACTTCTTTCAACTAGTTACTAGACAAGTTAAACCTGATAAGAAATGTAAAATTATTTTGCACCCCATACCTAGGTGAAACTAACAATGTGGGCCATGGCCCCTTTACTACATATATCGTAAGGAAATACAAGTTAAAGGTTCTGCAGTAACCCAGATACAGCCCAAATGCCTATGAAGCTAATCCCTTATTCAATTATAAGCTTACTTTCCCTGTAAAAGATTAATATTTATAAGCTTCTTTACACAGTTTCTATAATTGCAACATTAGCACAATTAATCATGTTCATGTGTCATGCTGCTGAGGTGCATCCTCATGAACAATCCAAGTTCCATCATGCTTGGAGTCTGGAATATTTAAAAGTTTAATCTGTATCTTGATTCTTTTGATTCCCCTCAGGCATAGACTTCGTAGAACTTCCATGCCGTCATTACTACTGCTGGAGGTGCATGGAGACATACTCAAAGTTGCATGTCAAGGAAGGATCAGTCCTGAAATTGGTGTGCCCTGATGACAAATGTGGATGTTCTATTCCTCCTAAACTATTGAAGAAGTTGCTTGGAGATGCAGGTTTTGAACGGTGGGAAAGATTGGTATTTCAGAAGACTCTAGACTCAAGGGCTGATGTAGCTTACTGTCCAAGATGTGAAACAGCTTGCCTGGCAGATGAGGACAGCGCCCAGTGCTCCAATTGCCTCTTCACCTTCTGCGTCCGCTGCAGAAATCGTCGCCATGTAGGGGAGAGATGCATGACTCCAGAAGAAAAACTTATTTCTGTACAGGTTCAAAATCCATGTAAACACTACATATTTCTTTTTTTGAAATAAGTGTTACCTAACTGTCCATGTTCTGATTAAAATCCATCTAACGGTGCATATTCTGTTGTAAGTTTTAGCTGTTATGTTTAATACGAGAGCTAACTTCCAATATATAAGAACACGAGTATTGGGAATGCTAAAATTATTATTGGATATTTTATACTCCCTCCGTCCCAAAATTCTTGTCTTAGATTTGTCTAAATACGGATGTATCAAGTCACGTTTTAGTATTAGGTACATCCGTATCTAGGCAAATCTAAGACAAGAATTTTGGGACGGAGGGAGTAGAATAGATAACTTATTCATTTCTTCAGAACTGTAAACATAGTTTTCTTTAACTCTTCACTGTTGAATGGTGAATCATGGAATCTAGTGAAGTTCCAGACATGGGAATGTCTGTGCAGTGTTTAGTCGTATTTTCCACCGAATTATCATTAGAGAACTTAACATGGCACTTTGAATGTCACATGGTACCTGATCTGATGCCACTGTGGAATCTGACAGGTGGGACTGAGCTGGTAAAGCGTTGGCTTTTTTGCTAAACCAACCAGACCTGGTGTTATGTATACAACATTTAAAACTACCTGGTCCAAAATGCAACTAGCAACGCCTGGTCTAAGTGGTACTCGAGGAAAATCCATTACAAGATAATGTACTAGCCACGCATCATGGCGCTCTTCTTAATAGAAAGATGCACAGTCCTTTCTGTATATTCTAGAAAAAGCTATAGCTCTACTTGCATATAATATATCTGTATTCTAGATAAAAGTAACTATTCATAAACTAATTCTGTTTTCAGAAGAGCACATCATTTTACTTTAAGGTTATTGCAAAACATGGTGCCATTTCCAGCAAGATGGGCATTCCAAGTTCCATCATTTGTTTTATGACCATACATCATTTGTGCTAGACCCTTTCAATGCAATGAGAACAGTATTGAGATCATATCGTTTATTGCACTATTTGCTTTTATACAGGAGCGTGAGAAGGCACGCAACTTGAGCAAAGGCAATGCTGGACGTAAAGTCTCTGCGAGTGATATATTTAGCATCAAGGAAATACTCCGTTCTTCTGTTATGTGTCCGCATTGTGGCTTTGCCATCTCACGCGTGTCAGGCTGTGACCAGATGCTTTGCAGAAACTGTGAGAAGTCGTTCTGTTATGCCTGTGGCAAGCCATCAAGTCAAGGTCATACAAGGTACGTATTGTCTTGTGATGACCCCTTGTTAAGTGTGATCTGTCAAGCATTATGTAGCATATCTATTCTCTGGATAACTAATTCAGAAACCAATGCTCCTTTTTGACAGTGAACAATGCAAAATCGATAGGGAGAAGCTGAGAGTGAAGGTGGAAGTGAATGATGTCGTCAGAAACATGCAGAAAGAGCTGAAACTGGCACTGTCCAGAGCGCATCCGTGCCCGGGTTGCCGCCAGCCGAATTTCAAGGTAAAGGTTTGGTGGCTTCCATATACTGTATCATGTATGGAATAGTGATATTTTTCAGTAGTGTTTTCTGAAGATAGCTCTAGTGCTTTCTACTCTTTTTTTCTCTTGATGATTCTGGTGGATGAAGACAGTCTCTGATCTAAGCAGGTTGGGAACAACAACCACATCTTCTGCGAGACATGCCGGGTTCATTACTGCGCTCTGTGCCACACGGTGGTGCGAAAGAGCAAGGAGCACTATGGCCCCCGAGGGTGCAAGCAGCACACTGTCGACCCCGACTTTGTCTAGAGAGGCTGGACCAAAGAAGAGCGACGATCATGAATCAGAATTTTTCGTGAGATGATCCCGGGGCGAGCACTGGTTTTGGCTCTGTCGAACAGGTTTTTGTCCTCTGCCGTTTAACAGTTCCAGATAGTATTGACAGTCACACTTACAACTCTCTTTTTTGAAACCGAACATTTTTTTTTGCGGGGTTAAAACTGAACATGTTACGTATTGTCGTATTGATGAACCCCGGAGATCATCTTGTTTTTTACATCGAGGATCGTCAGTTTTGCGCGAGAGGTTTATAACAGCAAAGCTTGCTGGATTTCAGTATAACACAAATATTAAGGCCGCGGCACTTTTTTTATTGTGAAAGAGAAAAAGGAAAGCTAATGTGTTGCTTCCTTCCTTTGAAGCTGCTCACGTCTCTGTTGATCACTTGCGGTGTCAGTGCCCGTCGTCGTCCGTGGGCACAGGGTCGTCCCTCTGACGAACTCCCAGCACCCCCGTGACTCCTGCTCAACCAGAACGTATGTAACTTAAACATCAAATATCTATGTATGCCTAGCTAGGATCGATGAAGTAAGCCAGGAATGTTCACTCACTTGATAGTCTGCGGGCCTGGTTGTTGGTGAGGTAGGCGCTGAACCTCAAGGGCGCGGTCTCGAACATGGCGCTCCGTGCGGCCTCGATGCTTGAGGTTTGAGAGAAAACACGATAGAGAAGCGTCAGCAAATGGCATAGAAATGTAGCGGTTCAGAAGGAACAGGGCGAGGCGACCGACCCGCCGACCACGGTGGCGAGCAGGCGGTAGTGGTGGTGGTAGTAGTCGTCCTCCGTGGCGGCGGCCGCCAGGCCGACGGTCACCTCGAACAGGTGGATCTCCTGGCGGCTCCGTTTGGGCGGCGGCGGCGCCTGGGCGATGGCGAGGGTGGCCACGGCGAGCATCAGGATGGTGAACGCGGCCACCGACTGGCTTGTGGGTCTCGCCATGGTTGCCGGTGCGTTGCGGCAGCTGAAGAGAAAAAGATCGGTCACGCTGCTGGTGATCTTGGGGAAAAGGGACGTGAACTGGGAGGGTTTTATAGGCGCTCTCGTCCGGGGGGTTTCAACTGTTACGTGGATCTCATTTTAAGATGGTTCAATGGTCATTACGACATACGTTTTCGGTGCCTGTTAATGCGAGATTTAAGACATGCACAACTCCAGTGTGTGCACTGCAGCAGTACAAGTAGTAGCTTAAAGGCAGTCAGTTACGTAGATCCAGTTGCTAGCTTCAGGGGGTGTAACAATTATTTGTGCTTCTGAACTTCTGAACTTCTGAACAGAAAACATTTGCGTATTTTTACAAACGAGTCATGATATCATGTTCTAGAAAAGTCAGGTCGATGTTACAAGATGGTGAGGATGGCATCCAACCCCCGTCTCCGAAGATGTTCATCGGCCATCCGTCGGCCCTCATGGACCGCGTTCTCTTCTACCGCGTCACGAGTCGCGACATACCTCTTCCTCGCCTCCGGATCGATGACCATGCGCTCGAGCGCCATGGCGGTTCGAGCATAATGCAGTGCCAGAACAAAGAAGTTGTTGTAGCTGTAGACTCCCGTCATCAGTAACGTCTTCAGACGATAATGCGGCTCACGGGCTGGGGGCAACTCCTCTATCCGCTTCAACGTCTCTTGTGTTCCGACTGGGCATAGCAGCTGCATTATCGGAGCATTAAACAAAACCAGCGCAACGATTAATCTCTACCCTATTTCATAAAAGCACCTCTCTGGAAACAAAAAAAAGGCAATTAATGTAGTAAGTAGCAAACTAGCTCAGACATTGGAGACATGTAAGCTTTGTGGTTCAAAGTTATTCTTGCATCAGAACAATACTGCCGACCCCGTTTAAACAATCTGAATTAAACAATCAATCTTATGCTGAAATTACTTGATGCTAAAAAGAAGTAATATAATCTAGCATGCATGCTGAGGTACTGCACTACTGTGCATGACATAAAATTGAGTGTACGTTGATGCATAGTCATGTTTGATACAGGCATACAGCTTAACAGTAACTAGGATGCACAATGGAAAAACTATATTATGACATGATATACAACGTAAAGCGAAAAGGCTAGACTTTATTATAACTTACTTACACTCCATGAGGTATATGGATGATGTTTTGCTGGATCAGATAATTACAGTAGGTAAACATCAAAGAGATGGATCACCTACATGCAGTTCAAGATGCTTCAAAACTGGGCTTAATTCCAAAAGGCAAGCCAAACGAAGAATGCCACTTGTACGCGAATCACGCGCAAGGACATCCACGCTCAATATAAGATGCTTCAGGTTGACAAACTTGCCAGGGCATTTTGCACATCCAGGCACCTGCATGACATGAACGCACACAGCCATGGCAAAAAGAAACATGGGATGATCAGAACACGAACAACAATTCATTACCATGGATCCACACTAGAAAGGGCAAGGCACAATTTCAGAAGTAGTTGAAAGGATCACCTCGGCATCAATTGCAAGTTCGACGCAGAGCTTGGGCACATTCGCTATACCATGATCCGCGAAGGCGTAGTCGAAAAGGTCACCCCTCCATGTTGGCAACCTGATAGTCACCTCCTGTATCTCTACACATCCATGAATCATAAATGGCACCGGGTGGACCCCCAAGCTGTCAAACATGAAGGTGTTAAGGTTCGGAGCTTGCACCTCAAGCCTGTGCACATCGAAGCAGTAGTGCACACACAGGTATCGCAACTGGCGCAACGGCTGGGATGTAGTCAAGCTGCGGAGGGTGCAACGCACGATGCTAAGCCACTCAAGCATGGAGCACGCTGGCAACAGCAGGCGCTGGATATCTCCAAACACTGAGTCGAGCTTGAGCTTTCTAAGGTTTGTGAAGCCACAGAAACCAGGTAGTGGGTTTAGGTAGGCAGACATGAGGCACAAAGAGCTGACGGCAGGAGCGCCATCGATGAAAAGGTGGAGCGGGAAGCTGAACGAATTGTCGTGTTTGCCCCATGAACCTGGTTTGAAATCGAAGACAACGTGCTTCGCTCTCGATGCTGCACAAAAGGTGACCCATCTGTCTACATGGGGCTGCACACTTGTGTTGATGAGCTTGAACTCGAGCACGAACTTGTCCCTAGGAGTGGTGGGATCGAGCTGGCACAACACGCACTCGACGTTCCTGATGAAAGCTTCTCGATCCTGTTCCTCTCGGCTCATGGCCGTGGGGCAGCACATTGTCTCCCTGGTGAAGACCAAGTCTCTGATGCATGATCTCCACAGATGTCTCCACTGGCTCGACAGTAGGCTCATGCGCACAGCCTCCTTGAAGCTTAACAATGACATCATGTCACTTAGAGTATCCTGCATGCAACAGCAATACAATTTGATCATTAGTTTCTTTTTAATGTTTATTAGTTGTAGGACATGTGTCGTGCAACAATTGGTTGGAATTATTAATAATTTCAGAATACCTTAATACAGTATGAAATTGAAGATCTGTTACATGGAATTGCTATGATTCATGGACTTTAATTATGCTTGCTGGAATGAACTGAAGGAAATTGTATACTTAAGGAAGCTAACTAATAATGGGACAGATCATATATGTTCACTGATGGGAAGACTTCCTAGGCACATTGATAATTGAATAATTGGAGGGACAGAGATCATATGATTAAATTACAAAACTATGTCAATCTACATGTTAGAAAACAAAATTCTATCATATCGCATTGCTCATGATGTGTGCTCCCACTCGGATTCGAACCAAGATGCTTGAGCACTGCTTCCTAAGAGAGTAAGAGTAGTGCGTGTACCAATTTCAAAGAACTTCACAAACAGTATTAGTTAATTATGCCGTGATTGATATTTTAGTCCAGATTCTATCTTTTCGCATGTTATAAGTAAATCATTGCCCTATGATCCCAAAAAATTGAGAATCAACAATTCATCCAAATTCTATCTTTTCATCGTCTCCAAATGCAACTTACAATTAATGGGATGTACATGTCTCGTCCCAAGACTCAAATATGCAAGCTGTGAGCGGCACCACAAATAAGTGTGCAGTTGGTAGACTAGACTCACTATTTCCAACATAAGTTGAGCCATCGATCATGACTGCAAATAAGTGAATCAGTCGACTAGTAGTAATATGGATCAACGTGTATGCATGCTCACTCGCCGGAGGCAGATGGGTATAAGATTATTTCATAATAAGGTGAGGAGGGCAATGATCGAGTTAATTGAAACTTGATTGACCCCCTTACTAAAATCACAGTAAATTACAAGAATATACTAGAAAGATGAAGAGCATAGTAGCGTGTGCTCGCAAGAGGCAGATGGTGAAGCTGCGGAACACCCTTGTGCCCCCTCCTCCTCTTGTCAGCATCATCCTTCTTGGATGATGATACTGCTATGCCCCAGCAATCTGCGGCGCCGGCGGTTGACTTCATCATCTTCCACTGGGGCTCCGGCGGCGAGGCGGAGGCGGGCGGACGGCGAGGATAGAGGATTTATGTTCCTTTTGTTTTTGTTTGATTGAAGAGCTAGGGATTATACGAGAGATGGATGCGAACGTGCTAGCCAGCTCCTCCGCCGGGTCGTGACGTCGAGTACTAACAGAGCAGTCGGGGAGCGGCGCAATGGACTGCTCGGGAAGGAGGGCGGCACCGGGGAGAAGGCCAGCGACCGGGAGGGGGGAGACGGCTTGGGAGGTGGCCGACGGTGGCCGGTGGGGAAGATCGCGATGGCGATGAGATGGCCGACGGGAGGAGGAGAGGGAGGGCGGAGCGCTGGCGGCGGGGCGGCAGCAAGCTCGCGGCGTGGCGAAGCGGGAGGGGAAAAAGATTGCGGACGCACCCACCGCGGAAGGAAACAACAGCATACAATTTGGTTTGGTTTTACAAGTTTGGGCAGATCCTTTTATGTGGGTTAGAGCATCTAGACTCTAGCAGACCCTTAAAACATGCCGACCCGCAAAATAACCGTCTATTTATGATTTTGGGG